TAGACAAAGTTAAAAGTCTGTTTAGGGAAAGATCCAAACATGGATGACAATAACATCTTCTCCATGACAATAGTGAGGATTAGCATTGCCCAGCAGCTATTTTTTTTATCTATTATGGAGACATGGGAATTATAGCTGTGTGGCAAACTGTGCAGAAAACAATTAGTGCTGAATGATAAAAATAATGTAAATCCAAGAAGGTTGGTTGGAATATAATTTTACTTTAAAACTTATCTTCTTCTAATCTGATAAATTGAATCAATTATTAATAACATAGTGACCTGCTGAACTATGCAGCCCATCTAAGGGATTTACTCTCAGAAAGCAATGTTCCAACAGAATAAACAAACCATTCAAACTGTTTTTTTGGCTGCTTATGAACTCTTCACTGGAAGCAGGGTAAAGATATATGCTGGGATCTTACTTTGATATGATGTTCAGGGTAAGTTTGGTTACACATCAGATGCTGGAAAGTAGAAATGACTCAATTTTTGAACTGGTTCATGTGCCTGAGTTTATTTATTAATCATAATCTCCTTATAATTTGTTCAGAGAGCTGATTCAACAGAAATTAGTGTGCAGTTGTTTAGTACTCAGCACTCATTCAGTGCATATCAGATTAACAGTAGTGCTAGCATGAGGACAGTGGTGGGAGTAGTTGGCTGTACATTTGGGCTAGATTTTCTTAGCTGAGCTATGAAACTGCATCTTAATTATTTTATACACATGTATGCATATACATTGATACAAAACTACTAACAACTTTTAAACAAACAGCAGTATTGGGAGAAGTGGACATTAGATGATTATAGCTTCTTTGACTTTACAATCATCCTGTGTCATTTCCATTTTGTTTTTTTCTTCCTCTTCTCCCCTGTTCCTGGCATATTTCCTAGTGGTGTGGCTGAACCATTAATGTGATGTTCTAAGACAAGTATGAGGACAAAGAGATAGTTTTGTGCCAATGCCAGCAAGTGAAGTTGTTGAAGATAGGCAGGCATTTGAAGGCTGTATCTTTAAGAACAATGGTGATGGTACTAGGGAAGCCCTAGCATGCTTCTCTATCTCTAAAAAAGAGGGTGAGGTCAGAACTCAAAAATCAACTAGTCGTATTTCCTAGCAGCTAGCTTGCTAATTGGTCTAATTTGGGCCACTCCATCCCATTACTAATGCTATGTTAAATTGTCCTCAGTTGTGCTGGTACATGGCAATCCAGCATTTATTTAGCAATATAAACATATCTTCTGTGATTTAGAGAAAATCTGGGAAAAAACACTTGACATATCCCAAGGCATCAATTTAATCACCTCTCATGTTCTCCCTGGTGAGCCAGCCACACAGCTCAGCGTGGCATACGCTGGCATACAGACTCCCTTCCCAAAATCTGGGCACGGATAATAAGTCTTGTCCTGCCCTGAGGGCATGAGATCTCAATTCTCCATCTACGAGGAGGATGGGTTCTTGGTGAGGATCCAAGCACAGCCAGGTCCAATTTATGTATGTAGAGAAAGAGGTTGTTGCTCAGCAATTAGTTAATATTCTTGGCATGCAAATGACATTTGCAATCAAACCAGTGAATCTAGCTGAAGTTTGGGATCAGATCATGGAATTTCTTTCAAAGACTTTCTTTCTTCAGTCAAATCAGCTACTGAAAAAAACTGGAATTTTACCAAGTCTGTGCTGAAGCCTTGAGAGTCATAGTATGTATCCTTGAATACTAGGTACCTCTGTGCTTAACCAGCAATCCTGCCACACTTAGATCAGTAAGGAGGATATGACCCCAAGAAAATTAAAACATCGGAGTCCTCATTGGTCTTTGGAGACACAGATCTTTAAGATAACAGCATCTCTAAGCAGTGAAAGTGCTAAAAAAATAAAAATGTTGAAACATTATTAAAGTTTGTCTATTGTTTTTTGTTTCTTTTGTAAACCACTTGGATAGTGTTGCATGAAGAAGCTGACTTTGGTTTAACTGTTACATGGCAGAAGGCAGTATTCCTCTGATGTTACTTTAATTACAGCAAAAAGAAAAACAGCAGTAGCAGAAAGAACTTGAGCACTAATTTCAGCAGGTGCATCAGCAGTAATACGAAATTTAATTCTTGCTTATCACTGTTAGCAGGGGGGAGATTGTTCCTTCAGTTCTTTGCAGTGAATCACCAGACTATCACAAGTCAGTCTCATAAGTGCTATTTTGTTAGCATGAATTTGGGAGACCAGCAATTTTCTTATGTGCTCTTTACCTCTTCTCTTAAAAATGGTTCTTTCCAGTGGATAGCTGGTGAAATTATCCTATGCTCCCTTGGTCTTACCTAAGACTTTATTTGTAGGGAGCAATATTTCCCTACGTGCACAGTGCAGTGATGTTCAACCACTACATGTCATCAGGAAGACTATAATGGTAGCCATACTAATTCCTGTGCAATAATGAAAGGGGAACAAGAAACTTGAGATGAATTTAGAGGTCAGAAGTGTTAATTAGTTTTGCACGTTAAGAGGTTGTTCATTTAGAAGGGATAATAATTGTTTCTGATTGATAGATGCAAGAAAGACAGTATATTTTCAAAAGTCATTTGCCTTATTCTTTTTCTTTAGAACCCAAACACTTATCCCTGGTGAGAAAAAACACAGAATGTTCACCAGAGCTGAGCATTAAATAATGATGGCATGTTACAGGTTGGTACAGGCTTTAATAGTAAGTACAACTAAGGCTTGTAATGTTTTGATGGCTTTTCTGTTTCTTTTAAGATCTGGAATTAAAATTTCAGAAATTTGAAGTAATTTTATGTTTCAAATTCTAGTAGTAAAAAAAGCAAAACAAAGCAAAACGCAAATCAAACTAAAATAGACCAACCACCCATCATAATTCTCATGTGAGAAAAAGAAAAACTTTGCTGTACTTTAGAGTATTCTGGCAAAACTTACAGGCTAGAAAATACTAATGCAATAGGCCTATATTCTAAAATATTTTAGAATAAACAATGTAATGAGTGTCTTTTTTTTTTTTTTTTTTTGTTTTTTTTTTTTGTTTTTTTTTTTTTTTATCATTTTGAAAACCTCAAGTCCCTCAAAAGACCGCTAAGCACTGAGATCCACTAAATCAGAAATTTTATCAGAGGTTTCTTTCTTTCTGAGATAAAGCAGTTTTTCTCAAGGCAAGAAATGGTAGCTAATACCAATAATTCCTATGTTCCTGTTTTCTGGTGTTGAAGATAACATCATATTTTAGAGAAAAGAAAAGGCTTATGAGTAGGCCAAGAACAGTGAATGAGCTATAGAGGAATTTCATAGAACAACGGATATTGCAGAAAAAAAGACAATCTCCTGATAATTCAAATGAATTTCCTCTTCTCCCTTCCTTTGTTTCAGCACCCCAATATGTAGGGACTCACACGTAATTATAATGTCACATCACTCAAAGATGTTAAAATGAATTTATCAGAAATTTGCTTTTTGATCTCTAGACTATTGGGCAAAATAAACAAGACTATTCCTTAATAACTTGATACAGTGTTAAAACTATTTTACCTGCAACTCAACTTTCTCTAACTTGTGTAATTAGTGTGATCTTTTCACCAAAAGCAGTGATATACTTATTTGGTAATACCTATGGGATGGAAATAACTTACATAGCAGGACTGAAACGTGCAGTCAATAACATAAAAGCTCACTGGCAAATTTACGTATTAGATGGAATAACTGTCATCTCTCTTGAAACCAAAGATATAAAAGCTTCCAGCTGGGCCACAGTAGCTAAAGGACTCACTCTACTTAAATGAATGACATTTAAATTTTGATGAAACTAACAAAATTTACCAACATACCACCTCTGAAATAGATATCCTTGTCTTAATGCAATTTAAGACTTGTCTTAATTCTTAATTGTTTAAGACTTTATTTGGTTGGATACTCAAATGTAAAACTTACAAATTATGAAATTCTTATTTCTTTTTCTCCTTCCTTAAAAACACTGAATCACAAATGAACCATAAAAAAATTAGAGGTTGATCAGGAAGTCATATATATAAGGCCAGAAGAACACAGCTATAACCTCTCTCATCTCTTCCCATTATGATTTTAAAGACTGGTTATTTAACACAGCCTGAACCACTGATTGATAACCTGAGGAAAGGGCTAAGTCAGCCATGGGAACACAGGTGAAGATGATTCAACTCCTAGATCCCATTTAAGGGCTGACTGACAGCAGGGAAGAATTTCTTTCTGGATATCCTTTGTCTGTGGAGTCCTTCTTGTGAACCTAGATCTTCAGATAGAGGTAAGCATTCCTTCCCTATTTGTTTCTTTCCCCATTTTCACCATGACAATCTTTCTAGCTGTAACACCAACTGTAACATTTAACACACCCATTCAACATCATTAGGCATATTAAAACTTTATGAAAAATCATAGACATAGAAGCTTAATTTGATATATTAAATTAACAGGGGATTAGATCTACTTGAGTTGACTGGGGAGACATTTGCTTTATGTACTAAAACAAATGTTTGTGAAAGTCTTACTTTAAAATGAGAATTTGGGTTAATGGCTCTTTTAAGTACTATGGTGAACTAGTTCAAAAAACTGTTGCTTACTTTGCAATTGCCTCTGCATAGCATAACTTGCTTTTTCATACAACAATCTCCCATGTCATGTTGCATAAGGCATTAGATTTTGCAGTATTTTTCCAAAAATGTTTTGTGTGACTTGTGTACTGTGCTTTTTCAGTAATAGAGGATAATCTCTCCCTGTAGCATGAGAGATCTAGACAGAAATGCCTTATTTTATAGCATATGTTAACTTGAAGTAATGCATTGATAACTTGAAGTAATGCATTGATCAAAAAGATTTGCAGCAATGAGGAACAAATTTTGTCACTTGTAGGCAGAGGTTCAGAGGTTAAGTTCAGTTAAGCACTTTTTTTTAAAGCAATTTTCTCAGGAATATGAGTGAGATTTAAGGAGAATAAAAGATTTTTTTTTTTCTTTTTTCTTCATATTACATATTTTGGAGATAACCTGTACAACTTTGTCCAAGCTGACTTCCAAACTTGTCTTCATGGTAGTAGTCAGGAACTTTCTCATGCTTTTCATCCCCATGTGTACATTCCTTCTATTTCTACATAACAGGATGGGATTCTATAGCTGGTATGAGGTTTGTTCTCTTGTTATATGGTGACTGACAACTTTCTCTGGCATCATATGATAAAAGCATAGCAACTAATGTGACATCAAGAAAGAGGTGGATCAGAATATATTTGGCAGATAAATATCTGCTCTGTGGATAGGATTCAAATGTCAAAGTGACAATAATAAATTCAGAGAGAGAAATCTGATCTCTGGGGTTTGTCCATAAGTATTCCCTTTCCTGATAGGAATGTAACATAAGACCTTAAATGACCGAAGGAAGAATTTCTGTATAGGCATAACCCTCTAAAGTGAATTACCGTTGACAAAGCTCTGATGATGAAATAAACATTTCTGTGCATGTAACCCAGTTTCACCAATTTTAGGCTTTTTAAGTGGGATTTATGTCCTTCTGCCTCTGGGCACACCTGTGAAATTAAGCAGTGCAATTAGAGCTACAGGACGCGTTCACTGGCGGGTTGTTTATAATCAAGATAAAGCTTGGATTCTATGGTGGTTTTCAGATCACTTGCCTAAGGATCTGAGAAATGGAATCATAAGAAGTATTTTTATTTTTTTTTTTTTAGTAGGTTTAAATTCACCTTGTATCTCCACTGGGAGATCTATAGAGGTCTGTAAATTAAAAAAAGGCTGAAAATAAACTGCACTAGTTTAGTATATAAAAGGAGGGGAAGAAGGATGATAAAAAGATGTATTTCAAAGCATTACTTGTAAAACTTGTCCTTTATTGGAAACCGAAAAGTATGCAGTTTGGAAAGAGGATGGTTGTGTTTTCTTGGGTATCAGAAGACCTCCTGGTCCAATTTTTTTTTTTTTTTTTTTTTTTTTTTTTTTTTAAATGAAGTTTTTGGAATGAACACAAGGCTGCCTGGAGGATAAGGAAGGGAGAGAAAGGCTGATTGCTGGCCATTGTAGGACCACCTAAGGAATAACTGCTGAGATTCAACCTAGTACATGGTAGTTGCAGTATAATTAATTCATTCAAGCCTTGGAGAAGTGCCTTTGTTATTTTTAATCTAAATGAATCCCTCCAACTATTAGGTTACAATGTGGAATTTTGGGAATGTGTTTTTATTTTTTTTACTTTTATTTTTTAACATCTTGCACAATTTCTTGAACCCCTAGATGCATGGCTTCATTGCTGTGGTTTAGTGGTGAATGAAACCTGTTAACCTGGCAGTAGCATTGCCTTGGAGGTGCCTGAACTAAGGTAGAGTTAAGGCTGCTCCCACCGGGCAGAGCAGGACTCACTCAGCATCCTGCGGTCCCTCTTCTGGTGAACGTATGAACAACTATTTCAGGAGCTGAGGAGACATTCCTTTTGTCTTGTCCTGATACTCTCTGCAAGTTGTTCTGTTTTCTGCATTTCGTCTTCTTGCTACATGCTTTAGTGAATCGGGATTTAAAAGGCTCTTGATTTAAGATCTCCTTTTAAGAAAGGAAGAGAGGGGGGGAATTCCTGAATATTGAGAATAGCCTTGTCAGATTATCACAATGTAGGAAATATTTAAATATTAAATACAGTAGAACAATAGCATTCTACCAAGCTAGTAGACAAACTTTCTAAATGAATTAAATACTTCTGTTCTTCCATACATGTACAAATGTTTTCTCTGTACTAGAAAACGTTTGTTCTACACTTTCTTGTTTCAGTGACGTAGAGCTCTATATCCAGGTATCTCTGAACCTCTGTTTTCTACTTTTAGCTTTAGATATCAACATTACTATTTGAATTTCTGGGAGAATTTTCTAATCATATTATGGTCTTCTATTAACCTTTCTCATTTCTCTGAGATGTATTATCTGTTCTTTGCTTGCCAGTGGCTGAAATATTTTTTCCCACTTACTCTTGAGAGGTCTGGGTACAGAAGGGTATGGATTCCATTAACATTAATACTTCAATCACTTCATTAACTTTTTTCTTTCACTTTACTTTTTGATCCTTTTCCAGATGGAAGTGAACAATGCATATCTGCTTAATCAATCATGGCTTTGTAGTTTCTATATATACACACAAAAAAGCATGTTTCAATCTCTGTGATGGAGAAAGAAAAATCTTAGGGAGTAGTATTTTAAACAGATTGCAACAATGTCGGAACTGAAATTCATACTATACAGAAAAACTGTAGTAAGTTGTTATACTATTAAAATATTGCCTAAAAAATTCTCTGGCACTAATAATGCATTCTGCTTGGGAGAAAATCTTGATCTTGACCCACGAAACTTGAATCTCAATTACATTTGATTTATGTAAGCACTTAATTTATCCTTTCTGAGGCACTCAGAACACATACATATATATTTAGAAGACATAAACTGCAGTGTCACTGAATCCATATTGAACGCTAAGGGAAAAATCCTAAACTTATTAAATAAAAGACTGAGCTGTACTCTGTTCCCTATGTGGAGGAAGATGGAATTCATCTCAACCAACTAACAAATTCTGAAAATAAAAAGCCATTGTACATGTAAAAGCTGTAGAGTAGACAAGGTAAGTGTTTAGCACAATAAAAATTCTTACCTAAGACATTTAAATATTTCTTAACCATAACCAGCTGACAGACTGAGGCTGTAGGGTTTATATGTGAGTTGAAATCAATTCACTGATATACAAATACGATAGTCTGCCATGATAGCTGTGCTCAAAAAGTGGACAAATGGTATTTAAGTACTTGTGCAATAGAAGTTACTATTGGCAAAGACTGGCATCAAAAGGTCTTGCCTTTCTGTGAAAACAATATCTTCAAGATCAACAAGATCTTCATTTTTCTTTCCTATTACTTTGTACATATGAATTTGTTCTCTCTCCTCCTTGTGCTTTTGATGTTTTGTGCATTCAAAAAAAAAAGAAAAAAAAAAGTAGTTATTCACAAGGTCTTAACTACTCAAGGCCATAAACACTGCATTTTAGACTGTTACCTGTCAAGTCTTTGAACTACCTCCGACTCAACGTTAATTTTTCTGGGTTACTTGCCTTGAGTTAATTAGTTCTCTTCACTGTCTGCCCACATTTTTGATTTGTTTTAGAGATTTCCTTACTTGTACAGAAAAAGATTTCTTCTTGCTGCATGCAAGAGAAGTGAAATAATGGCCTGCAATATTCTGCAAGTTTATAAATTCAGGAAGTTGGAAATCATATTGTCATTCTCCACAGGGAAACCTATTATTATTATCACCATTAAGTACTGATTAAATATACATTGTCCTTGTACAAATATATTATGGTAATAATCTTCCATGATCTTATAATACTTCAGGACAATTCCAAAACCAACGTATGTAGAAGTTCTCGGTTTGTTGTTTTTTTTTTTTTTTTTTTTTTTTTCCAATTAACTGTGTACTGATTTTCCTCTATATAGGTCATCAGATCACAAATATAGGAGATTGTGAAGCCAAGGCCAAGATTTGGATTTGCAGTATGTTTCTTTAAAACCATACAAACATTTAGCAGTTTTTAGGGGTATTCTCATCAATGCATCTAGTATGGTATAATCTGTAGACAAACATGAATTAATAGCACTTAAACTAGGGCTAACTACTGTTATCAGCTGCCACACTTTCACCCAACCATCTAAAAACTGCCAGCTTCATTGACCAATTTCTGTAGCTCATATATATATATATAAATATAAAATATATATATATATTATATATATTTAACAGATCCTGAGCTACTTGAAAGCTTTATTTTCACATTTCTCTGTACCTCCCAAATAACTGCAAGGTAGAGATGTTTTCACTCAAGTGTAATGTATTCAAATATGGTACAGGTATTTGTATAGAATAATGTCCATGTGTAACAAATCCAGAAGATTTGCCTTGAAATCAGTCTCTGGAAAGATATCAGTCTTGGAAAGAGTAATGAGCCTTGTGGGAGTCAAGAACATTAATTTTTAAAGTAGTTATTGAGGTTTTTAACACTACATCTTGGTTTTTTCTGGATGACTGGAATTCGGTGATGCAAACAACTTGAGGAGGACGTATTAACTATGCACAATTAAGGTTAACATTTAAAATAGAGACAAAAGTGTGTGTTGCGTGTTTTTATGAAAGTTCAAATGAAAAACATTCATGACAAATGCAGGCGAGCAGAGATTATGTGAATAGCATCAGGATCAATTTACATCTACTCTTTTTCAGCAGAATAAAATGATGTTGTATCAGTTGAGAGAAGTTAAACAACTTTGCACATATTATTCGCTCCTGTTGAGATGTATGTTTTCAACACTAATGCATTAGAGAAGTGCAAAACTCTTCCCTGCAAGAATATTTTTTCAGTTTTTTTTTTTTCAGTGGTAGACTACTGAAGACTCATTTTCATAATGTTCACAGGATGGCATGAAAAGCATAGAGTAACATTTAATTTTGAAATATTCATTTTTCTGTAATATTTCTGGTATAACGGAGAAGCATCTTGAGACCCATGCCATTATTTTTTTTCTTAAGATGAAACAGATTGATGGAAAGATCAGGAAGCTGAGAATAAAACTGGTTTGAAGAATGAATGCAGTTGCATAAAATATTTAAAGAAATAATTATTTATGGTCCCTTTGTGCAACTTATCCAATTTGATTTTTATTTTTGCTAAGAAGGAATTTGAGGAAACCCTTAGTTTTCACCTGAATTAAGGGCAGACCTGCAGCAAGGCAAAAATAAATAAATAAATATCCTGAATATGATGATGTGAACATGTATTAAGCAACACAAACACAGGAAAACAACCTGTTCTCTGCAATGGAAACTATTGCAGTGAAGTGGTGAGAATGCTACAGGTGTGACAAACTGGGCTGCAGGTAAGCCTCTAATGGAGTTGTACAAACAGTGCACAAAGGGTACTATTTATACTATTTATATTTATTTTGGGTTTTTTGTTTTGTTTGTTTTCATTCATATTTGTTGGTATTTTTAGCAGTTGGAATTTTTGGTCCAGTACTTATCTGTAGTCTTGGTGCAAACAGAACCCTGTGGTAGTCCTTTAAAATTTTGAAAATTAGATAAGTCATCAGTGAGCTCTGGTTTGGTTTTTTTGTTTTGTTTTTTTGTTTTGAAGATAAACTGTGATTGAGAATCACACCAACCTTCCTCACATCTCTATGGAAGAATTTCTGATGGACAAATACCTCATTTAAAAAAACAAAAACAAAACCCAAAAATGGATAGTAAAGGATTTGATAATTTCAGTTTTCTGTTAAACAACTGCTTGTAAGAAATGGGAAGCATATGAAAGAAAGGAAGGGAATTCTGTGAAGAGTTAAAAATTGGATCTATATGGCTTAAATTTAAAAACAAAAAAAAAAACAAAAAAAAAAAAAAAAAAAACAAAAAAAAAACAAAAACAAAAAACCACCACCAAAAATCTATGGTCTCTGCCCCCTGACACTAGGGGTTGAGCTGAGGCGATGTCTTCAGCAGCAAGATCCACTAGCTGTGACTGCAGAGCACTCAATCTCAATTAAGAACACAAGTTCCCTCTTTTCAAATAGTCTTGATGTTTCATAAGACCTTGCCCATGTCACACATTTTTATGTGGTGGGCTTGAATAACACTGCCCAGAGCTTTTGGGCAACACAGCACTTGCTCTGTAGGCAGCAGCCCAGAACTTGCCAGCAGCCACTCAGCTGTTCTCTCCTGTCTGCTACCCAGATGCTCACAAGTACAATGCTGTGTTAACACAACCTAATTATCTGCCATGTGCAACTATTTATACATTCTTGCTGCATTAGAAAGATATGATGGCAGCTTTCTTTTCCTAAAAAAAATCCGTTTGCACTTGCTGGCATTTTTGACTCAATATTGAGGAAAATAATATTAAAATGTAGCGTTTGTTTCTATCCATTTAGGGCATGAACTTGCATGTATTAAAGAAAGCATGCTTTGGATTCCCTTAGTGAGTCATCTCTATTTCACTGGTGATTCACTTCTTGAAAAGAGAGGAACAAAAATCTGGCCAGCTGACACCAAGTGTCATCTATTTATCTTTCTGTTTGTTTATTTTAGCCCAGGGAACTTTCAAAGCATGCAACTGCAGGAAAGCTGCTGGGCTGAGGGCTGGTGAAGCTGCTTTTTTCTAGAGTTGTGCCTGTGCAGTATGGAACTGAGATAAAATGGTGAATCCTTATTCACACGAAGCTCTCTTCCACTGAAGCATAAAAGGAGAGTGTGCATGGGGGAGGGGGAAGGGAAGATCCATTCTGCCAGCTTGCATGCATGCTAAAAGCATTTTGGATTTGTGCATTACTAGGTACTGGAACCTCCTCCCACAGGGACTACTGAGAACCCAACCAATCGCCCCTCAAACATTGGGGTGAGTCTCAGTCACCTAGGGAGATTCCTCATCTCTTCATCTGTTGGAGCAGTGAGTGGCACTCTAGGAAACTACAGTACATTAACAGGTATTGAAATCAAGCAGTTTGTTCATGCAGCTGCCTTTACTAACATTTAATTTTCATCCTAAGTAACGTTATCTGCAGCATACAGAAAATCTAAATTTTTATTTTATTTGCGTAAAAATACTATAATGGCAATTAGTTAACCCAGATATTTTATAAATAGCTCAATGTTTTTGCAGTTTTTGAGCAAGCTGTCACAAGCTACAGCAACATCCACAAGAAATTGTGGTTTATGGCTTTTTTTTTTTCTTTAACAAACATGGGGCACAGCATTTTTTCTTCTTCCTGAATCCTCTCTAAATCTTAGCACCTAAACTCCACAGACTGAGAAACTACATTTGTGTAGTATGGAGCAATATTTTCTGTTGTTGAATCTGGGCATTTCATGTTAGTCTTAGGATTATTTATTGTTAGTGATAGAAAAACACCTTCATCAGTGTTTTAGCTAACATTAGTCACTGACAGGAGGAAATTCTTTGAAGTTCTTGGAGGCAGAATCACTTTTTAAATGCAGATATTTTTTTTTTACCACCCAAGATAAGGTAACCTCGGATCACTGACAAATGAAAATAGGACCAATTATTGGGCTGTCAAATGAATTCTGGCCATTTTTTTATATGCCAGAGAAATTAGGGCAAGGGCTGTATTCTTTATCGGGATTCCAAAAAAGCATCTTTGTATTTTTTCTTATTAAAAACTTCAATTCCATCTCAGTAGTTATAAGAAGAATATGACTGGGGTTTCATTTATTTATTACTTTTAGTTTTTCTGCTTAAG